AAACTGGATTATAGACTCGCTAAAAAGGTCTAAGTGATAACATTGGTGCTGTAACAAAACAAGAATGAACAAAATGACATAACACGTCATCGTTGAGACAGATGAACACCTGCTTAAAGCTGTAGCCTCCATAGACTTACAGTGCATTCCTAGTTATTATGCAAATGGTGTTTTTTTTTCCTCAGATTTTTATAAATAGTCAGTGCCCGTGGCATTCAGCATAATTTTCAAGTCAACTGTTGGAGAACAATTTGAATGTTTTCAACAACCTTCCCAAATGATAACCCCCCTCGCCCTCCAAAATAAAAATGTAGTTTTTGTTAAAATTCACGCTATGCAGTCATGTTTTTAACTTGAATAAACACGTGAAGCCACTACAACATGTCTTCAAGGCATTTGACACACTAACTGATTCAATGTGGGCACAAGTTCAATTAAATGAGTTTGACAAAATAAAACCAATTGAACTACACACTACATATTCTGGTTTAAGAGTGTTTCTACAGTGTTTTCTCCAGGTACTTCGGTTTCCTCCCACATTCCAAAAACATAGATGGCAGGTTAATTGAACACTCTAAATCAGGGGTGTTGAACTCATTTCACATTGTGGGCCACATACGGCCTCGATACATGTCAAGTGGGCCGCACCATTAAAATTATACCATACTCTGCTATAAATAACCAAACTAACATTTCTTTCCTTTGTTTTGGTCTAAAGAAGCACAAGAACATTCGGAAAATGTTGAAATTGAATGAACGTATCTTTTACAAAACATTTAATGAAGCACCTCAGATTTCCTTAGACAAATGTGCAATTTCCTTTTATCATTCACATGTATGCATTGCAACTGATCCCACTGATTGTACAAAGGCGCAAAACTTTAACAAGTAATTGGTATTGAAAAATATAGTAATGCACTTTAAAATTAAATGAGATTTATAAAGAAATGAATTTTTAAACCATTTACACATGTGCATATAAAATCCAAATTTAATTCCTGCCTACACTTTACAAACTAAGGAGAGTGCTATTAAAAGTGGAAAGAATAAAGTTTTCAAATGTCCTTGACTGTCAGTGACAGACTGAGACTGCTGTTGTCTTCTTCTCTGATCAAAACAGTGTGTTCCCCAGTGGATACTCCATGAATTGCACCTTATTAAAAATATTAATTCCATGTCTTTTATGCATTTTTTCACTTTTAAATTATCCTGCAGGCCTGATCGAACCCATGCTCTAAATTGTCCCTAGGTGTGAGTGTGAGCGTAAATGGTTGTCCATCTATGTGTGCCCTGCGATTGGCTAGCAACCAATTCAGGGTGTCCCCCGCCTACTGCCCGAAGACTGCTGGGATAGGCTCCAGAGCTCCCCGTGACCCATGTGAGAATAAACTGGATCAGAAAATGGATGGATGGATGTTTCTACAGTGATCAAATATTTGGTCTTGATATTACATTATTATATAATACAGTATATCATAATAATGGTGTTGTATTTTGTGTTTGCTCATCTTAATTCATCTGAAAGGTGAATGTGACACAAACCAACGCCACTTGTAAAATGACAGCAATAGCATCGGGATTCCATAGACATAACAGTAAAATCTGGTTTAAAAAAAAATACAGAATATATATATATATATATATATATATAAGATTGTTTTGATGGGAGTTTATCACCCTGGATCCAAAGAAAGCTACCGCTGTCTCACTGATGAGTCATACAGACACAGGGTGTGTTTGTGTGTGTGTGAGTGTGTGTGAGAAGAAAAAACGCTCTTACTAAGAACAGGTACTGTACTGCAAGAGAGAGAGAGAGAGAGAGAGGGCTTCCTGACTTGGCCTCATATACTCGCTCACATCATCTACACATGTACCTAACTGAGAAGTTGTCGTTTGTCATACCGTCCACAGTCATGTGAAGTGGCGGCACGGTGGTCGACTGGTTAGCACATCCGCCTCACAGTTCAGAGGTGCAGGGTTCGATTCTGCCTCCTGTGTGGCGTCTGCGTGTTCTCCCAGTGTCTGCGTGGGTTTTCTCCGGGTTCTACGGTTTCTTTACACATCCGAAAAACATGCATGGCAGGTTAATGGAACACTCGAAATTGTCCCTATTGTGAGCGGCAATGTTTGTTCGTCTATGTGTGCCATGCGATTGACTGGCAAACCGTGCAGGGTTGTCTCCCCCCGCCTACTACCCGAAGACAGCTGGGATAGGCTCCACCACGCCCGCGACCCTCGTGAGGAAATGCGGATAACAAAAATGGATGGATGACGTGAAGTTGTGCAGCAGGTTTCTTGCTCACGTCAGCTTCTTCTTGTCATCGTCGTCATTGTGGCTATTTTTAACAGCTTTCACTCCTGCTTCCAGCCGCCGCTTATGATGACTCAGGAATAGAAATTTTCTCTGTGGCATAAGGGCATGCTCAGTATGATCGTAAAATAACCCCGGATGATAACCCATTTTAATGTGTTTGTTAATCGACTCTAGTTTCCACTCTGGGTGCCGATCTCACACCTATAGAGAATGTGTCATCGAAATTGAACCTAACATGCATGTTTTTAGTAAGTGGGAGTTAGGAATGCTCAGAATCAACCCCCAAACCACAGATCGATGAGTCACTAGCTAACCACTCGCCTCTTGCCCAAAGACAGCTGAGGATGACCATAAGGAGGACGAGCCCTCTACGAAATGGTGTATTGTTTATGTTGTACTGAGCAGCCAGGACACTGTTGAGATAAGTTCCATTTCCTGTTCTTACGTCATCATCAATATTTTTTTCCCTCATCTTCACAGACATTTTGTCCCATGCATTTGTCCTCACATATGTGCAAAAATGACCTGAAAGTTTGACTTTTGTTGTGCCATTCGGTGCCATAGCTTGGGAACATTTAATAACTGACGAGAGATTCCTTCAAAGTGCGAGGTCAACCGTGTATTCTTGGCAGAGGTGTATCACTGAAAGGGGGTAATTCATTTTTACGAGCTACTCTGCGCATGCATTCTCATTTGCATTTTTATGTGTTGTGTTTCTCGTTTTACAAATGGCGTTAGGGATATATATATATATATATATATATATATAAAATGCCATCAATGCGTGACCATTATGTTTCCTGAACAAATACTGAATATGTTGCAGCACTTGCACCATCTATCATTTTATGGTACTTAATGACCAGATAACCAAATGGTCACTTTGCAGAACATTGAGTCAGCATTTACAGAATACATGTCTCTGAATACTTGCTTAAAACAAAGACAATATAGTGGTACCTCTACTTACAAACGTCTCTTCATTTGAAATTTTCAAGTTACGAAACGCCTCAATCGGAAAATATTGCCTCTTTTTACAAAAGAAATTTTCAGATACGAATGGTAAAAATACAACTTTGGTCTGCTACTCGCAGCTCCGAGTTTCCTGAACACAACATACTTATAGCTGCTCTGCCATTGGCTATTACTTGGCATCTTCCTGGCATCCGATTGGCTAAGAGGGACCTCTATCTCATGTGTCTATGTGTGTCGATAGATGGATAGCTGGGATTGGCTCCAGCACCCCCCCCCCCCCCCCCGCCTCCCCCCCGCGACCCTTGTGAGGATAAAGCGGATCGTTGGATGGATGGATGTGTGTCTGTCAATGCAGTGTCCTCGTCAGTCACCCCTCGAGCCACGAGGTGTTCCGATAGTTTTTCGTAAATGTGAATCATCTAGAAAAAGTGTTCACCAGTCCGGCGATCTCTCAGTATGCTGATGTTTGCCTTGAACATTTTCGAAGGGTTGTTAAAAGCCGACAAAAGCAAACGTCCTTGTATCAGTTCTTTACAAAACGCCAGGCAAAAATCACTTCTGACAGAGAACATGAACTAAAGAGGGTAAAAAACGATGAGAACTAAGTTAAAAGTTAAATGACCATCATTTTTATTCTTTATTCTTTGTTTTTTATCTTATGCAAAACTCTCATTTATTGTTCAATCATTGAATTGTAACATATATTTGTTACATATTTTGATGATTTTTTTTATGCTTTAGAAAACATTTATGTCAGCATTTTGGGGGGGGTGAAACGGATTAGGGCATTTACATGGAAAACGTGTCTCTACTTACAAAATTTACTTGTTAAGAAATATCTTCCTGAACCAATTAATTTCGTAAGTAGAGGTACCACTGTACATACTTTTACTGTTTGGATGGATAAAATCAGACATCAATACAATGATAGTCGGGACAGGATGTTTGAATGGAGCAATTCCTGGCCTAAAAGCGAGGTCCTGCAGCGGCTGTTATGTTTCTATCTTACATTGAGTGATCAGGTTGTCTCTGCCTCTGGCACTGGGTGAATCCTTTATCTGAATTAGGTGATCAATCCGACCTGTAACACAGGATGAGGCAGGAGGAACCTTTATGTGAGCTTCCACATATATACAAACACGCTCACACACAGTGGGTGAACTGCCCACAGAGAGCTTACAGGAGTTTCCCCAATTGGCCACTGACAGTTGAATTGAGACACTTATTTTGAGGGAATAAAAGGTCAAGGTCATCTTTATTGTCAAATGTGCTCTATGTATGACATACAGCACAGATGAAATTTCTTCCTCTCAATCCTCATTTCAAACATACAAACATGCTGTGCATTAAAACACACACAGCTAGAGATAAACCAGCAAACAACACTGTATTAAAGGCATAATATATAAATCTAAACAATAAAAAAACAAACAAAAAAAAAAACCACTGGCACTTGTGACTCCGGTGGCTTAAAGTGAGGTAGTGCATTGGTGCAATACTGCTGTCGGATGCGGAGGGGAGGTTCATAGGTTCCCTAACAAACAAAACAAAACAAAAATCACACCTGTAACAGCAGACTGTTTTGTTTTTCCCCTTCCGTATATTAAGTGGTCGATATGTTGTCGTCACCAATAAAAACATAAAAAGTACAGTGATTTCAGCTGACACTAGACACACTGGTCCTGCAGCGGCTGTTATGTTTCTATCTTACATTGAGTGATCAGGTTGTCTCTGCCTCTGGCACTGGGTGAATCCTTTATCTGAATTAGGTGATCAATCCGACCTGTAACACAGGATGAGGCAGGAGGAACCTTTATGTGAGCTTCCACATATATACAAACACGCTCACACACAGTGGGTGAACTGCCCACAGAGAGCTTACAGGAGTTTCCCCAATTGGCCACTGACAGTTGAATTGAGACACTTATTTTGAGGGAATAAAAGGTCAAGGTCATCTTTATTGTCAAATGTGCTCTATGTATGACATACAGCACAGATGAAATTTCTTCCTCTCAATCCTCATTTCAAACATACAAACATGCTGTGCATTAAAACACACACAGCTAGAGATAAACCAGCAAACAACACTGTATTAAAGGCATAATATATAAATCTAAACAATAAAAAAACAAACAAAAAAAAAAACCACTGGCACTTGTGACTCCGGTGGCTTAAAGTGAGGTAGTGCATTGGTGCAATACTGCTGTCGGATGCGGAGGGGAGGTTCATAGGTTCCCTAACAAACAAAACAAAACAAAAATCACACCTGTAACAGCAGACTGTTTTGTTTTTCCCCTTCCGTATATTAAGTGGTCGATATGTTGTCGTCACCAATAAAAACATAAAAAGTACAGTGATTTCAGCTGACACTAGACACACTGTAGCAGCTTGCATTATACCAGTAATTATACGAATGGACAGATATGCAATATACTTTATTTCAGTCTGCTGTGATATAGACTGTGTCCTTTTCAGTGTTATTCTGTCACATGCCAACTTAGATGTCTTTCGCGCACATTGGAAAACTTTAAGAAAACTATGGTGGCCTTAATTGGGGAAAAAATACATAAATAAAATGTGCCAGTATTAAGGTTAGAGTTCTTAGTAATAGGATCTGAGTTTGTCCGATCACACAATCGAGGTCAGGGGTGTCAAACTCATTTTTGTCGCGAGCCAATTTGGAGTTACTTCTTCCCTCGGAGGGTTGAATTAATGTTTAATCATCACGTGGTATTGTTATTTGTACACAACAAATTGATGGATTACTAGTTTTGAAATCAGTCAACTATATGTTTGTTGTTTGTTCACTTATTGTTCAAGTGAGTGTAAACAGGGTCAGAAAATTAGCGCAAAATCTCAATGTTGTTAATTACACCTAACAATTTGACATTTCTGTCCAAATTTTAGAAATGATCGTAGAAGTTGACACACATGATCTGCTTTCGTGGGTCACATAAAATGACGTGGCGGGCCAAATCTGGCCCCCGGGCCTTGAGTTTGACACCTGTGATCTAGGTCAACCTTGCTCAAGGGCACCTCAACATTTGTCACTCCACCAACTAGAGCTGCTAATGAGTAACCCACAAAGGGCTTTCTCATGCAAGTGCACACATGGTCAACCAACCTGGATGTGCTGCTCAATGCAGCCGCTCCACAAGTCGCCAAAGTTGCATTTACTGTCGGTCACAGCTGTCAAAGTCAATTTCCCAATGAAAATACCTTGCTTTTTACAGAATGTAAAATGTGAATAACATTGTTTAATACTGTTCTTGCCAGGAACCTTTTGTAAGTCCAGTCTTTTCAGCCTTTGGAGTGTTTATGTATTTATTTTTTAATTCAGTTGACTTGGTGTTTGCCGTGCTTTTGTTTGGTTGATGTTTTTTTTTTTTTTTGTGACCTGTGAGTCTGAAGCCCTTCGGTATACCAACTGCTTGCATTCCCATAAGTATTTGTAAATTAACAATGCAAGTCTTCTGTGCTCTGAGCAGGAGCGTTTTAGGGAGTTACATTACCAATTTCAGGAGGAGTCAGATTTGTCGAGAGCAAAGTTGTGAAATTTAGGACAATTGCAAAATTCACCTCTTGCTTACAACATGCTGAAAGAAAACAAACGTACTTACTTTACAGCGGACACACCACCTGACACAGGTAATAAATATTTGTTGTATCTAATTTAAAAGGAAAATAAATATCTACTCAGAAAGCATCTGCCTCTCTGAAGTGCCTTGGTATGTTGGAGTGGGCCATGACTTTTATTGTGCAACTCCACCTTATCCTGCCAGACAACCACAAAGCCAGGACGTTCTTCTTCCATCCATCCATCCATTTTCTAATCTGCTTATCCTCACAAGGGTCGCGGACATGCTAGAGCCGATCCCAGCTGTCTTTGGGTAGTAGGTGGGGGACACCCTGAACTGGTGAACTGGTTGCCAGCCAATCACAGGGCACAGAGTGTTCCGTTAACCCGCCGCGCATGTTTTTGGAATGTGGGAGGAAACCAGAGTACCCAGATAAAAGCCACGCAGCCACAGGGAGAACATGCATCTCCACACAGGAAGGCTGGAGCCGGAATCAAACTCTGCAGCTCTGCACTGTGAGGTCGACGTGCTAACCAGTCGCCCTTCGTGCCGCCCCAATTTCTTCTTCTCTTTTTTAAATTAATTTCAGACATGTCAAGAACCACATAGCCAAAGCATTTCAAACAATATACCGGTAGGTGTAAGTTGAGGGGTTCGTTGTTTTGGAATGGATGGCTCTACTTTATGAACGGCAAAAGGGGAGATGGAATCCTTTGAATGCAGTTTTATTGAAAAGGAGAAAAAAAGACGTCTGCACCGCAGCACGTTCGAGAACGCCACTCCTTCTTCCGGCTACTAAAACACTTCCTGTTTCATTCAGCCAATCAGACGCTCCCAACAAACATGTTTAAGAAATTATTAAAGAGAATATAATTTCGGTAACTTTAACATCAAAGACAATACTGTAATGTTCAAACATAAAAGGATAATAATTAACAATTAAGCAAAAGCTTCCATAGGTATACACACAAATCAATATACCATGTAGACATTTCCTTTTCAACATGCCCAAAAAGGGGTAAGAAGTACAACTTACTTTCCCCAACTGTTATATTCACTATTCACCAACAATGATGATGGTTGTGATTCCCGTGAATCCGGTAAACCAATCCTACAAACAACAGTTTTTTCTTTTTAAACATTTTACCACCGACACCTCCCAAAACACACCCTATGTAGCATCATAGTTACAGTGCTAGCTACCTATTACCCCGTAATTTGATCCCTATATATTTTTTAAATAATCAATCTGAGCTGCTTCCCCAAAAAACTCATCCTTGGACAATGTTCGAACTCATCACTGAGTTCATTTCAAACTCTTACACCACTCATAGAAATCCACTTTCTAGTCATGGTTGTTCGAACACTCCTGGTTTTTAAATTAAGATCCATGCATCGATTTTCTAATCTGCTTATCCTTGTGGGCGTGCTGGAGCCTATCGCAGAGCACCAACAGTCGGAGGCAAAGTTTACACACGGACGAACTCCTCTTTGAGTAGCATAACATCCGCTCTCCCAACTGCTCGCGCGATCCCCCCTCACATCCTTAAAGTCACGTGACGCATTCCAAAATACTCAGCAAAAACAACATGACATGTTATCAACAACAACACACATATCTCAACTCAACTCAACTCAACTGTATTTATAGAGCACTTTCAAACAGCCATCGCTGCATACAAAGTGCTGTACATGGAGCAATTCAACATATACAACAAACAGTAAAACAAATCGGTAATAAAGACGGTAGAAAGCACCGAACAGCAAAACCAAGAACAAATCTAAGTCATGCTGAGTCAAATGCCAAAGAATACAAATGAGTTTTGAGGCGGGTTTTGAAGATGGGCAGCGAGGAGGCTTGCCGAATGTTCAGTGGGAGGCCATTCCAGAGAGAGGGACCAGCAACAGAAAAGGCTCGATCCCCTCTGAGCCTCCGTTTAGTTCTTGGTACTTCAAATAATGTCTGGTCCGCAGACCTGAGGCGGCGGGCAGGTGTGTAGGGGCGGATGAGCTCAGAGAGGTAAGGTGGCGTGAGGTCATTTACAGATTTGAAAACAAGTAAGAGGATCTTGAAAATAACTCTAAAATGTATGGGGAGCCAGTGAAGGGATGCCAGAGTAGGAGTTATGTGCTCCCTCTTACGGGTACCAGTCAAGAGGCGAGCAGCGGTATTCTGGACCAGCTGGAGACGCTTAATGGAGGACTGGCTGACTCCAAAGTAAAGGGCATTGCAGTAATCGAGCCGGGATGTGACAAAGGCATGAATTACTGTCTCAAAGTGTTCATGAGAGAGTAGAGGTTTTACTTTGGCTAGCTGTCTAAGGTGAAAGAAGCTGGATTTAACAACGGCACCAATTTGCCGGTCAAGTTTGAAATCACTGTCCAGTTTAAGGCCCAAGTTTGAGACTGTTGACTTAAGATAAGGAGACAGGAGGCCCAAGTCGACAGGATGGGATGTACAAGGGCCACTGGGACCAAACAGTATCACCTCTGTCTTCTTTTCATTGAAAGTCAAGAAATTTTGTGCCATCCAGGTTTTGATTTCTTCCAGGCATATCCTAAATTTCTCCCTGGAAAACACTTATATTTGGTACTTGCACATTTTGTAAATTAAAATGTAAAAAAAAAAAAAAAAAAAGAACGGTTGCTGTCACTAGGCATCAGTGTTCCCTCGGCACAAAGGCAATTTAAACAGCGGATAAAATCAAAACAATTTTGAAAAAAATCAAACCTGAGCTAGATTGGCATTTTCAATTTTCAGATTCGCCTCTGTCATGATGACAAAAGACAATATTAAAAATTCTGGGGGGGTTTTTGTGGATTTTGGATGGAATAAAGGTGCACATATCTCTCCATCCAAAACCATTATTGTGTGATACTTAATGCATTTTGTAGAATGCTAATTATTTCAGGAAAGATAATTGCAACCACCTGGGAATGGCCAATTGCAGCTTGGCCCCGATTGGCCTGAAGCTCAAGTGAAATTCCTTTAAAAGAAGAATGAGGAAGTCACTGCGCGCCGGACAGCCTGGAGAGTAATGCTACCCGTGGTCTGCTAAAAACTGTTGCTCCTTGAAATAAAGAAAACTGGAAAATCTCCTTCCTGGATCTTGGCTGAATTGCCTTTTTATTCTTTTTTTGCATGGCCTGCTGTTTCGCCGCATATTCATAACAGCCTCATACAAAGAATTCAACGGTTAATGTGACACACAAGGTTGACAGAGTGGGGAAAGAAAAATATGTTAAAAAGAAAAAAAAGATTATGAAAGTGTGGGAGCATTTTGGACTGAAATGTATGGAAGCGTGGAGCTGCCAATGTGGAAGATAAATATTTTGAATGGCAAATACGTTAAGACATACTTGCGAGTCTGTCTGAATGTATTGAAATACATTCAAATGGACTCGCAAGTACTTTCGAATGTACTTGCGCTCGAAATACGTTTGAACGTACTTTTAGGCAAAACGCTACATGGCATTTTCCCATAATTCCACGGGATACTGACTTGCACGTGTATTTTGAGAAAAAATTCAGAAAGTCAATCATGCAAGGCAGCCATCCATCTATGCAGAAGATCCATTTTCTGAGCCATTTATCCACACGACGGTCGCAGGCTTGCTGGAGCCCAGCCCATCCATCATCTTCGGGCATAGGCGGGGTACACCCTCAACTGGTTGCCAGCCAATTGCAGGGCACGCATAGACAAACAACCATTCTCACTCACAATCACACCTAGGGCCAATTTAGAGCGTGCCATGGATGTTTTGGGAATGTGGGAGGAAACCAGAGTACCCAGAGAGGACCCACGCAGGCATCGGGAGAACATGCAAACCCCACACAGGAAAGCCAGGGCCTGTGACGACTTCGTGAACAGCTGCGCTTCTCGCCAGCTTCCTCCCACATGTACAGACTGTACACACAGTTGAGGTCTGTTGTCCCCTGCCTGCAGTATCCAACCTTCACCAACAGAGGGTAGTAAAATACTGCTGAACAGCTGTGAAATGCTGGTTTACATTTAACTGTGTGCAAACATTACATCCACACACAAACACGAAAATTCCTAGGAGATGGCGGCAATTCCTGCTTCGTGGTTTTTCACTTTTCGCGGGGGAGTTTGCCAAATAACTACGAAGAACCAAAATAACTGCGAAAAACGAGGGATTACTGTTTTTGAATTTCTCATGATATAAAAATAGTTTTGGACTATGTGAGCAAAGTGTCTAAAAAGAATCCATAGATTTTTTTACAAATCCACTGACCATGGCAGTGCAACCATTAAAACACATCATATTACTGAGAACTCAAAACAAAATAATCTTTTTAAATGGATTGCAAAATGATGTTTGCACCTTTATAAGCACATTTCACACATGCAGGGAATATGATCTGAAGAATTCCTTCCAAACTAGCCATCACTTTGAACAGACATAATTTAGATATCAAATATACACGACATGGTAAGGTGTGAATGTGTTAAATTACTCATGTAATATGGTGTCCACCCTGTGAGCTGAAGAAATAAAAACAAACTAAAATAAGAAAATGCGCCTAACAACCCAAGGTTGCCACTTGAGAATAGGGCCTAAACAGCTATGTGCACCTCTGATTGAAATTAGAGTCATTAATAAAGTCTGCCCAAAGTCACATGGTCAAAATGTATTACGTAGAGTATGAGTATCAATGTTGGTGAATTCTCAACAAATCTTGTGAAAAATATAAACAATTTGAAAGTTTCATTCTCATTCACATTCATTCTCCTCTCAGTCACAAATACAATTCATGATTGCAACTCTTGCGATGCAGTCATGGCAAACAAGACCTTTAAAATATACTATTATAGGGCAGTGGTTCCCAACATGCAACTACAAAACTGACATTTAGCGAACATCTGTCTATTTAAGAGCTATGAGCCACATGGTGGAAACAGTTTAGTGTAATAATATGTGATAACAATGTAAAACTATGCATGATGAACAGTAGGTGTGTACGCAGTACTTACGGGGACCTAAAAGGTAGCCAGCACTATTGAGAGTCCACCCCCTCTTTTCCTTTGCCTGCATGGTGAAATAGGACAAAAGTAAAGGGTTCGGCAGATTAGTATTTCGTCTTTAAGATCATTGCGTATCCGCACTTGTCCTCACAAGGACAATCTTTGGATCACAATGACTCCATTTATAGATTATCGTCAAGTGAAAAATGTAGTTGACAATTCTCGACATGTACTTATGGAACAAATGTTGATCTGGAGACTTAATCTTTTTTTTTAATTTTCATTTTAGTAATTCAAATGCATCATTGCAGATTACAAAATGACAATCATTTTCTGGTTATTTATTGCTATTTATTACCAGGTAAACCCAAGGGTGTACTTTTACCCCCCCCCCCACCCCCCTTTTGGATAAAGGAGATCATATTCGGATTTTGGGGTGGTCAGTGGCGCTGATTTCCATGTTTCTGTAAATAATCAACCACCAAGGTTTCACCATTTTGAATAGGAATGTGGATTCGAAACTATTTAGTTTTCAAATTTGAGCCAGCTCAGTGGGCTGTTCTGCGATGATAATACGTAATTAGACGTAAAATAAAACATGAAAAGTATGATTTCTTTATTAATTTATAGACCTGAAACATACTGGTGTATTAACTACATCATAAATAACAAAAAAACATAAGTCATGATTTTTAATTATCAATGCATTTAAATTTTTGGGGGTCGTGTACTCTGACGTGCTGCTGCCTTTGATGAAGATGACAAGATTCACAATGATTGTCTCAATACCCAGTCACTGCCAGTCCCATGCATTGATGCATTTTAGAGTTGCATCAAAAAGGCCATCATCAAAAATTGCACCAAACTAATTACGGTATGTAAGCGACTCACAGTGAACCCTGATGGGATGAGCAAAGAGTCACGACAAACAAATGCTCTATTATAGTGTGTAATTATTTGATTAATTATGATTTTTTATGGCAACTGTCGCATGAACCTCAATTTGGTTTGTGGAATAATAAATTTGTCAAACCCTGTATGTAGATTATTTATGGATCCCTAATCCCTGCAAGCAATGAATGTAACTAATAGTCGAGCATTTTTTTTGTTTCAGTTCTACTTCTGAGATTGCAGCAAAGAACAGAATAACAGCACACAAAACTGAGGATTTCATTCACAAATGCAACAATAAATTACATGGCATTAATGAAAAAAAAAAAAGATCTTACCGCAATTACCAGCTCGATGGTCTCCGAGAACATTGTGCAAAAGACGAGAGACACCAGCAAAATCCCAAAGGACGTCTTCATCTAAAGAATTCAAGTAAGAAGGAAAGACATCAAGATCCACCTCACCCATTCAATTTTCACAATCAATCCAACCGGGAAGACTTTCCTTATGTGGGACTCTACATGTACTGTAGATTGACCTATACATAGAATGCCTTGATAGTAAAAATTAAGTAACTTGAACAAAGCAGTGTCTTACCTTTGATATGCTGGCAACACAGACTCTCCTTCCCGAAGGCAGCAGCTGAAGTTGCTGTTTGTGTGAACACTTTGCAGTTCAGACGAAATGGGTATTACATACACCTTTTATGGTCCTGAAACTCACCATGGCTTCAGTCCACCTGCGTCAGCAGCCCTCTCCCCTCAGACAAGAGAAAGCGTCATGAAATTCAATTACATCATGTAATGCCCGGATCCGATTTTTCTTTACCCGCCCGTCAGAGACATGGATTAAATTTGAAAATGAGGGAACTCTTCCTATCACCATCTTTCACTCTATAAGCACATGCTTCAAGTTTGTGTAGCAAATCAGTGTTGGACAATTTGTTTTCATGCTTTCTTGTTTGATTTAAGATTTTTCTTTGGGTCGGTTTAAGGAAGAGTGATTATGAAAATCCATATAAGATAAAATATTGAAGACATTCCTCGTCTAGCAAATAGTTCATCCTTTTATATCTGCTGCTTTCAGGTAAGGTAAGGAAATAAAAATAAACATTTACTGCCTACTTATTATTCTACTGATCAGTGAAATGTCCATCTTTCACTGCAGGTGGAATCCGTTTTCAATTCCATTTACAAACCAATGAAACATTTTGGACTAAAATACATTTCAGTTAAAACTTTTAAAAATAAGTCCAGTATTAGTTTTCATTCAAACAAAAATATATTTTAAAGATATTTCATTGACAGTCAAGCATAATAAACGTTAACCTACAAAAGTGACTGAAAACATGCATGCCAGGACAATGCAATGCCGTCATAAAATATTTCTTATCAAATTCCTATATATTTTTTTCATATCTTCCACTTTTATATTTAACATAATCAAATAAATGTAAATATCAGACTAAGATAACGTGAGTAAACAAAATTCAGTTTTAAATGCTGATTTTATGTGTTAATGGGGGAAAAAAAAACTGTTCAACGCTACCTGATCCTGCGTGACAATGTAGTTTGCCCATAAACCTAAGAACTAGTTGGACTACCCTGAGCAGTGACAACTGCAATCAAGCTTTCTATAACTGGTAATGAGCCTTTCACATTTCTGTGAAAATGTTTTCTTCCACTATTTCTTGCAGAATTGCTTTAATTCAGCAACACCGGAGGGTTTTGAGTTGCCTATTCAAGATCATGCCACAGAATCTCAATTGAATATAAGTCCGACTATGACTAGGCCACTCGAAAAACATCATTAAAAAGAAAAAAAAAGAATAATAATTTGATTCATGACTTTGCTTGCCGGTGTGTTTTGATGTTGTCCTGCTGCTGAACTCAAGTGTGCTTCAGCTTGAGGTCACAAATTGATGGTCAAGCATTCTCCTGGAGGATTTCCCAGTAAAGAGCATGGTTCAATCAAACACATCAAGTCGTCCAGGTCCTAAAGGAGTAAAGCAGACCCATCGCATCACTACACCACCTCCAGGTTTGACTGTTGGTATGATGTTCTTTTTCTGAGATGCTGTGTAACATATATGGCAGACATAATGAGTCACACACCTTATGTTTCATGTCAGTCCATAGAATAGTTTTCCAAATGTCTTTGGAACCATTATGTTTTTGTTTGTTTTTTTATTTTGCTTGAGTAAGATGAGGTTTTATTTTCTTTTTCGCCTTGGAACTCTGCTGTGGATGTAATTTCCATCCTGTTTCTCCATATCAAAAAAGCAAGCAGAAGGAGAACAATGAAGCACTGTGTGGCGACCCTCCAGTTGCTTCAGCTTTATTTTCCGTTCACAGTGCTTGGTGCTATACTGACAGAGTCCCTGCTTGTTTATGATTGCCAATATTTATTGGACTTTCAACACAACGTCAGAGGTTCAGGTGCGGTCGAGCATAGTGGGGAGAAGACATTGCCTCAGTTGCCGGCAGACATTCTGGCTGATTGCTTCCGTGTTCACGTGCTTCTTTCATGGTGGAAGTGTCGCCGCGGCAAACGCAGCAGTCACCAGGTGAAGCTAAAATGGGTTCTAAAACATGATTCATCTCTGCTCGTTCCCGAATATATGGATTTATACATGCTTGCTACCAGTCATCGGCTCTCCTGGAGAGCCACAATGGAGATTTTCCAGTCAGGTTTTAAAGTGATGCAAAACCTTGGGTGCTCTGAGTCCTGCACTGCTCCACTAACGTATGGTGTTCCACAGGGTTCAATTCTGATGCCTCTGCTGTTTTCATTGTATCTGCTGTCCTTGGGTTCCATCTTAAGAAAAAAGGGTATTTCCTTCCACTGATATGCGGATGACTATCAGATGTTTGTTCCGCTTTGAGACATTGAGACCACTTTTGTCTTGTCTGGAGGAACTCAAGGCCTGGATGGTTTTCAATTTCTTGAATTTCAGTGAAAAGAAAGTTGTGGTGCAGAATTTATCGTGTTTGCTCTCAGTAGCCCTTTTATATCCCATCCTGCTGACTTGGGGCCCCCTGGCGCCTTATTTTAATCCAACAACTTCAAATCTGAGTGTCAAACTGGACAGTGAATTTAAATTTGGACCAACAAATTGGTGCTGTTGTTTAAAGCAGCTTTTTTATTTTAGGCAGCAGGTTAAGTCACTCCTCTCAACAGCACATTGACTTAGTAATCCATGCCTTTGATACATCTCATCTGGATTCAGAGGCGATTGCTCTAAGACTGCAAGGGAAGCTCAGCTTCCCCTAAAACAGGGGTCGGGAACCTATGGCTCGCGAGCCATATATGGCTCTTTTGATGATTGCATCTGGCTCGCAGATAAAAAAAAATATTCTCGCCTGTTTATAAATGCATCCATCGATCGATTTTTCACTGCTCATTTCCTGTTCGGGCTGCAGTTGGCTCCAGGAGCCATTTTGATTGGATGATACTGGCCAACGTTGCTGTTGCTGTGGAAACAGGTATACGCCTCCTTTTGAATCAACCCGCTCGGCCATTAGCTCAAAGCTAATCCTAAGCGAATAAGATGGCAAAAAGAAAAAAAGATGACGAGTTTGGTAGACTTCGTGACGAATGGACCGAAGGATTCGCCTTTGTGGAGAGAACAAGTTCTACGGTGTGTCTGATTTGCAATGACAAAATACCATAGATGAAACTGTTGAATGCAGAGCGGCACTTTAGCCCTGTTCACACGGCACACATTTGGTCCGACGCTGCACCGAAATATTTTGTTGCGATGTATTTTACACCGGAGCAAATTTTGTGGATCGGTCACACGTGCAAAGCTGCTGAGCGTGACAACTCCGGCGCAGCGTCGAAGCAGCTCCACTTGCGGTCACACGTGCAATTTCTGCTGCGGACCAAAACGACAGGAATGCGGAAGTAAAACAGGTTCGGGTCGGGCTTCTCTCTCGCGGACTTTTATTTATTTTTCTTTTAATAAATATTATGGCGGACACTATTCTGTCCTTGTTCAGAATAGATCCACTTGTCGGCAGTCGTGGAATAAAGACGTGTTTACAGTCAATCGTGTGTGCTCCTTATGACTGCCACAATATATGTTTTAAAAAATGTATACTAAAACAATGCGCGGATACTAAACTAAGGAATACTTGTTTTAAAACAAACAATTTGGATAAAACAGAGAATGCGCTGTAATTTAATTGCTATTTAACTGCTAAACAGGAGCGCGGCCGGCCAGACCAGTGCGCGTGTATAGTTAATTTCGTTTAAACAATCCTGTAGAAATAATTTCAGATATCTTTACCTATTTATTTCATTTGAATTATTCTATTTAAAGCCTAGTAAGCCGCAGGATTTCTCTGCGTAATTAAGCAAATGCACATCGAGATTTCTCTTTGTCTGGCCTCTTATTCTGTATTTCAGCGTTATTTCATTGTGCAAATGCATTGATAATGTTCATAAAAATATGTAGATTATTTTAACCGTAAGAAATCTTGTGTTTTTTTCTCCCAAAAATACTCACAAATAAAATATGAAATGTCGGGTTTGCTTCAGGCTCGGGCCTGCAAATCGGGCTCGGTTGACGTCACTGCTTTCTCGATTCTCGTCTTGATCGTGAGCGCTGTCTTCACCGCTTAAATCGCCGACACTTTTACCGGGGACGGGGGTCCACGGCCGGGCTTCGTCTGTGTCGCTGGCCCCCTCGT